CCCAACTGACACTCTCGTGTTCCGTTCCCTTGCGTAATCAGATGTAACGCGACTAAAGGGATCTTTTTCGATCTTTTTAAAAGCTATGAAATTCCCTTTCGCGCGGATAAAGCAGACGGGGGAAAGCGTGTAACATTCGTTCTCTCTCGCCAAGGTATCGAGGGATCAGCTTTTTTCAGATTAATATTCCGCTTTGCGCTTTCTTCTGCGACAGACTTTGCATACACTCGAGAAATTCTTTTCTCTTGGATACATCTTCCTCGAGTTATATACAGACAGATAGCGCAAAATAGATTGATAGATTCGAGTGTCTATTTTTTTGTTCTTTTTTTTTTGTTCACGCTCGCTTCTCTACTCTACTTTACACACATAACTGACCAATTTACACGGTTTTTTCTTAGCGATTATCTAGATAGATCGATTGTCGTGCGCTCCTTCGAACAGCGGAAATTCAAGCAACGAAGATTGCGTCCACCGTCCTCGATTAACCCGACTTATAGTGAGCATCCACAAAAATAAAGGAAGAATCGAATACCCTATTCCTATCACTAATCCAAAAATTTCATGAAATCAATTCTTTTTTTATTGAATAAAAATGAATATTTAATTGAGTATTGCAAAAGACCTATGTATTTATTTGATTTGGTTCTAGAAGGGCATGAGCTGCCCTGGTCTATGATATGATAATGATATGGGGTCATTGGCACTGAACACATCATTGTAACATAAAAATAGCAAATTAATATAATCATGAAGAATTCAAATTTGATACCCCTTAATGAGGATGGTGGACTGAAATGGACTAAAAGAAAGCATCTGCATAAGCTTTTTAGAAAAGATCGTTGATATTTGATGACAAAAAATAGTCTAATTGATGGTTCTTCTGGCAAGCAAAATTAAAATTATTTAAGAAGTAAAAGTTTTTAAAAAATTTATGAAGTTCAAAAATTCAATTGGAGATAAAAGTCTATATTAAATATTTTAATAAGTAATAAAGACAGAACTGAGAAATAATACAATAACAATAGCAACGTGATTCTGCAACCCTTACAAAATTTTTAACCAAAGTTCTACCAGTCAGAAGAACCATTTCGACTATTTGTATCGTCCATTCAAGACTACACATGTACTCGTACAACTTTGATCTCAAAGTATGATTGTAGATAACTCTGTTATTCATAAAGGGATTTGATGAAAGTATTTCATCGTATTAATAAATTGACGTCAAACGCTTTCTCGTTTCGAGTGGCAGTAACGAATAATTTACCACGAAAGCCATTCGGTAAATGGAAATAAACGTGGTTACGTATGTTCCGGTATAAAATGGACGAGGACTAAATATAAAATTTCATCCCATTCAACGGAGCTTGATCCCAATTGACGTCAGAGGGCGAGTGCACTCCTTTTGGATGACCAACGTCAATTCCATAAGCATGGTAGAATTGAGCAACCACTGTTAATTGACGTTAGCCACCCAAGGAATACGATTTCATTATATAATAAAATCAACAATATTGAACCAATTAATCCATAGTAGAATATTCGTAACAACTCCAAATAATTATAGTAAAATAATTTTTTACTTTTTAAGAAGATTGTTTCCAAAATTATTAATTGTAAAATTAAAATTATTTAAGTAATTTCAATTCACTAATAAGTATTTCTAAGAGTTATCTACAATTTTTACTATTTGCTTTGAAATCTATGAAATATTACAATCTATAATATAGAATATTATATAAGTTAACATCAAGACAGAATTCTGTAAATCAGATGCTTTCTGCTCCATTGAAGATAAGACACGAGATTGTAGCCTCTGTATATTCGAAAGCAACACGAACTGCCCATTTTCTTTCATTCCTCGCAGAAAAAAAAGAGGAAAAAAATACGTACGTAAAGAGTGTCTAAAAAAAGAGAATCTAAGACTTTGTGAGCTTATAGTGTTCCCTGAGAGAAGTGAAAAATGGTGAATTAACGTACGTGAGTATCGTAATTAACATACTTTTGGTATGAAATGTAATTTTCATAACACCTTGCAACACTCAGATTCTTTCAAGACCATTTTTCACTCCTTTCAATGAATATTATAATCTTCTTAAGTCGAAGGTTCTATCTTTCTTTTGAACACCTTCTGTATGCTTCAATCAAGCCTCACAATCAATTAAAAAATAAACTCTTTCACCTTGCACAACATTGAAAAATGTTGCTCATCAAAAGTTCTCTTAGCCACTGATTAACACCTTATATACGACGTACACCTATTGTCAGAGACCCTGTATAATTATTTACAGTTTCATCCCAAAAAGAGAGACACGTAGTTACGATTTCACATATAGCGTGCTCGGTTCCTCTTATAAAGAAAGTGATAGCAAAGTTGTAATCAAGCAAGCCAACAACACTTGTTATATTACACACTTATGAGTGGGTGTGTATCCTATCTAATAGCACTTAGACTCGATAGAAGGAAGCATTTCATTTCTTTTCTTTCGATTCTCCTTCATAGTTCTTAATTAATTCTACGTATGTTAGATTAACGTTCTTTGGGACGCACGTTTATCGAACGAGACATCAATTAAAAGCGTACAAGTTCATTTCTATGATAATCTTTAGTGGAAAGACTCGGGATTCACGGGAAACGTCAAAACTTTGTTTCGTTTATACGTACAGAATCCGGTTGTCATTCTGGTGCAAACGTAAAATGGGAAATTCTTTGTGCAAAAATAGGTTGAAAATGTAGAATGAAGTATTTTTTGATAAGCTTTTGTTTTCGAGAAAACATGTAACATTTGAATATGTAATTACTTTTGTAGTACGCGTTTCTGGAAAACAAATTCTATTCAATTTCAACTTATCTTTGCAAGAGGAATCACCCCTTTTCCGGTTCTCCACGATTACTTCCGGTTCCTGTACATCTACGCCTACGTTTTCCTTAATCCGTTGCGAAAACCGAAATTAGTTCTATAACCTGCTTTCTTCCGCGATTTTTCCGACAGATAGAACGGAGGAAAATCTTTTTACGATAATTCTTAAATATAAAATATAAATAGGTCAATAAATAATACCGAAAGAATGATACTTTTCGTATTATCAAAATGGATTGTCAAAATTTACAAACTGGACGATTGTTTATTCATTGTTTAATCGTGTAATATCAAACAGTTCAAAAATTGAAATTTTCAATTTCTTAATAATATTTCTCAACCTCTTCTTTATACCAATCTTTCAATTTATTAAAAATTGATGGTTCACAGTAAATAAAATTCGAAGAGGATCTTCCAAAAATAGGTCAAAACGTGATGAAAATAATAATAGAGTAGAACGTGTTTTTTATTTATTTATTTAATGCCACGTCCTCGGTTGAATATTTATTTTCAGAATCCATCGATTTTATTAAATTGAAACATTGGTTAAAAAACAAAGAGTCGATAAGAATTATCAATTAATATATTTTCCAATCAATATTTTTGTTTGTTTTTTTATCAATCTTTTTCTGGAAAAAAATTGTCCATTCGGTATAGAATGTTCGATATAAAATTCTTGAAATATTCGGTGTTTTATGAAATCGATAAAACGATGGTTTTTAATTTGTTCCGGAATTCCGTACGTGATGGAGAATTAAACGTTCTTAAAACGTTGAATATTCGTTATTGCAACAATGTATATTAATTGATGGATTATTAAACACCGATATAAAAGTGCAAAATCGAAAAATGTACGTGAAATTGGGGTTGAAAATGAAAAATTTCATTTATGTCTCTATGAAAACTTGATAACATTTAACTTTCATACAAATAGTATAAAATTTGGTCTCTGTTGTATTTCACGACACACTTACCACATTTTTCTATATCTATTTAAAGGATACAAATTTCAGGGTAGCTGGAAAGAAATGCAATTAAAAAAAATAATCGACCGTCTTTAGATTTATAAAATTCAGACTTGCAAGATTCTTCGTTAAAATGCACCTAAAATGCGGAAAGCGGTGATTATGCATTCGACTGAAAAAGAATAATGCTTGATCGTCTTTAAGTTTCTAAAATCTGGAAATTCGTTTGAGTGTAAGCGATGCATAAATTTCACGCATTCACAATCACGTTTCGAGGCTTAAACGTGCAGCCAGGCAGAATTTCAAACGCAAAACTCGGTCGAAGCTGGTAAAACGCGTTGATGTTCAAAGAACTGTCGTCAATTTTTGGGACGGAGTTCCAATACCGGATCTCTTCAAGTGCGAAACAAAAAATAGGTGATCCAAAAGAAAAAAAAGAAAATTGGGACGAATCACTCGTATTTAATTGCAATTGAAAAGAGATGTTAGAAATAGATGTGACCGGTTCAAATATTTTTATTCTTTTTAAAACGACGGTGCAGGAGGCCAGAAAAGATACGACTTGTCCCAGTTATTTGAATCACCCCATAAAAAAAAAGAATGATAAAAAAGTAAAAAATTCGATGTTTAATCGCTCGATTTTCCCCCACCCCATTGTATCCTCCGTTCTTTCCTCGGATAAAATCGATGCAAGGAGTATTTCTACATTCCTTTGCATCGAACAACACACGCTTGTTATTTACATTCGAACGCGACCATTTACGTTCTATAAGATGGGTACTTCCGGTGTGCTCTCGTGCCAGGTAACACAAGTGCGTTGCAAAAAGTTGAATGGGGGTCGGTACTCGCATCGGATACGGATTTATGAGATACATGTATATATGTATATACAAAGCGAAAGACTCGAAAGGAAGTGAAACAGAGAGAAATAGAGGGTGGGGTGTAAGTTCCTTCCGGTTACTAAAGTGTTAGTGGTGTTTGCTGAGACGCTCGTATCCGCTACGCTAAACGAAACTCGGTCTAATCGAGCTTTACTTCTCTGATTTTTTTTTTTTTTTTTTCACCCGTGTGGTATATACGTATGCGTGTAACACTGCGTGGAAATGAGAGAAATAGAACAAAGAAATAGAGACAGACGGTCACGTGTAGGTGGCAATTTATGAACTCGTTATACCGGCGTCTTTGGCAGTTTCCTGCGAGTCGGTGAGGAGGGCGTTTTATCCGTTTCCCCTTCTGTAATAAAAATATTTTAGATTCTTGAGTAGAGCTGCAGCATAGAGAAATCAAATAGAATGGGATCTCTTCTAGTATATAAAAAAGAATTTTATTCAAGAAACGTTAATATTATAGCCAGTAAAATTTAACCCTTTCAGTGCTAAATCAATATCTTTAAGAAACTTTCAATATTAATAAAAGAATTAATCAACGTCAGAAATGAATAATTATTAATTACATTCGTTGTTGAAATTACAGATTGCTAAGAGAAAAGATAAAAATTGTAAATGGTTGATTAGCATTGCAATTAGTATTGGAAATAATTAATTAGCTCATTAGGAATTTCAATGCTATTAGGTCATCTCAAAAAGAAAAACTCATTTTTCATGAATTTTATATATATAAAATATGTATATATCATAGTTATTTTTCGCATCCCACTCTTCTTTATATAAAACAAAATATTCCATAAATGGCACAAGCTTTACGGGATGACCTGGCGGTGCTACTAAAATTAGTTATAAGCTCTGAGACTCCTACACACGCCAATAGCAATGAAAGGGTTAATCCGATAGATGCGAAATGAATGAACTATTACTGTACAAGGCCAAATAATCTACTCGTTTCCCGTTCTCGAAACGTTTCTCTGCAGAGCAGACCGACAAATCCTGGTTCGTATCGATTTTAAAGCCGACGATACTTTAGAATCTAACGATTGATACGATGATGCTTTTGTTTTCTACTCACCCATCAGTAGGCCCATATTTCCTGACACTTTTCCCGATGACGGCACCGCGGCTAGATCCTCTGGTAAATCCCCGCTGTGTAAAAATGTCACACAACGATATTCGAATCTACTTAAAGTAGAAGTATCACCGGAATCAAATTTGAAAATTAGGGTATCGATAAATATTACAAACGGAGCAAGATCCATAGTCGGAACTTTGCACTTTTGAATAGACCTAGGGGTGGAAACACCCTTAACAAAATTTCGAGTTTTCATATTATTGTGAATATTCATAAAAATATATCAGTTATGGAAAAAAAATAAAAATTATTAGTTTTTGATAGCCCGCATTGTGGTAGTAAAAAATTTGAAAAAATCATTATATCTTTGCCTGTGTTGTACATTGGGACGTACGATAAAGTCGCTGTTACGGGGATAAATTTTAGGATAGGATTGATTTATTATTTTGCAATAATTTTTTTCTATTTTCTTTTCTCTTTCACAGGTACTTACGTGTCCGCAGCATGTTCGACAACTAGCTCGACCATGTCGTCGCCACGCTCGGTTATCTGAACCACTTCCTCGAAACTTCGATCCACCAGAGACACGCCACCCCATTCTAACACCTGAAAAGAAGGTTGAAAGTCTTTTGATTTTATTTTCGAAGAAATCTTTCAAATTATGCAGGATATGATTCCTCGCTCGTATTCAGCAATCTTGAATTAGAATTTCGTCTACTTATAATTCTTCTAATACATAAAAAAAAAAATTAGTTTTGCATTCAAGGATTAATAGAATAAAATGGAAAGATTATACGCGTGAATTGAATTCGTATGATTTCGTAGGATGTAGCTTTCTAATCGGCGTTTGCGATTGTGGCAGGTTTCAGGTGCGCGCAGCTGTCGATAACTTAATTAAAATCACAGCTGGAGAGAATGGTTGTCGATACTCGCACGCATTAACCGCTTACAATAACGTTACCCACTTAGCAGCGAGCGCACGTTGCCAGGATATTCTCTTTATTCCAATTCAGTTCTAAATAGCTATCAAATATTTTAGAATATAATTAAATCGTTGTTTATAACAGGTGATCAATAAACGTAATTCAATAGAATCCATTAACTCCTTTTAAAGAAGGGGTAGATTTTATCATAATTTATTATATTATCAAATTTTCAATTTCTATATAAATTAAATTATACGATAATTGATTCTTTAAATTATAGCTCTATTTTGAAGAGACAAATTTTATTTATTAAATAAATTCATTTATTTGATTTTTAGAAAACAAGGAATTTGGGTGAAAAGAATGTACAGAGCGATAAATTTCTTTAATAAAATGACGTTATTTAAGCGAATGCATTACGGGGGGGAAAAAATTTCTCAATTTTTCTTACCTTGTCACCACGTTGTATGCCAGCTTTTGCTGCTGGCCCATCTGGCACCGTCCACATCACATATGCTAAAGTACGTCCATCAGCTCCTGTTTTACCACCCACCACTCTTAGTCCAAAACCAGCCGCTGTAAAAGGCAGTTGAATGTTTAACATACCTGTCGACCTAACATGCGCAATTTGGTTTATGACACAACTACCATCTCATGACACATTCCCTCATGCTTTTATGGAAAGCATGATATACGCAATTTTGAAATTTATTTGGTGACTCAAAATAAATGAAGATTAAAGTAAAATAATAATTATTAAAATGAATGTAAGAAATGTTAAAAGATTAATAAAAATAACTTTAAAAAAGCGTTTCAAATTTATCGTCCCTTGCAATCGTTAATAATTAAATATGCAATCATTCGGGTAGAAAAAAACCGTTATTTTAACGAAATTTAAAAATTCATTGTACATACACTGTGGTCGTCGAATGATAAATAATATCGGAAATGGGGTAAAGGGTTGGAAAAAAGCTCGCGTAAAGGGTGGCCTTTATGTTTGTAAATTGGTATTCATCGTAGCTCGTTGGAAGTTTAAAATTTCAACATATCTAAAGTGCGGTCTTTTGTACGAAATTGTAAATTAAACGAGTTCTCACGAGTTATAACGCGATGCAGCACTTGCTTTCCTGTCGGTGCCGATCGATACCACCGAATGTCAAGACACAACTTTATTACGTGACATCTACAAACGACATCCTTTCGTTGAGATTGTGTTACTGTACGTATGAAAGAACGACTTCCCGTTTCCGTTCGCCGCACAAACTAGATAACATTTAACCCTTTGCACTCCAACTAACAATCTGAATTGAAAAGTTTCAACTTCAGTTACGTACGTCCACACAGTTGCCATTAATAAGAGCCATTTTCTGTTAAGGACATTAATGAAAGATATCACTAAGTAGTAATTTTCTTTGAACTTTAAGCTTTAAATTGATGTATCATAATTATTATTTTGCAATACTTTTCATGTAATAATCTAAAATCAAAATTAATTATTGAATGATTGCATATTTTAGATAAAATATTAGATTGTTTATTTTTTAATGGAGTGGATATTTGAAAAATTATTTTGTAATAGAATATTGCACAAAACAGTCATAAACAATGACGAGCTAACCACATAAGAACAGAATCATCCCCAGTTGACATCTGCCTGTTCCTCGTAAAACGAAGTAAAAGGGTGATTAACACGACGCTAACTTGATGCTAACGTGACGACTAATGAACTTTGTTACACACGCGTACACTAGTGCAACAGGTTACCAGGGATCTGACTGCGACAGTAATTATAAGATTAACGAATCGCTGCCCGTCCGAATGAAAGATCTAAGCTAATCAGGGACGTTAATCTTTCAGCATCTCGTGGAAATTTCAGTCAGAATCACCCGGTGTTCTTGCTCCTCTACTCGTCCTCCCTTTTGTAATCCAGTTTACAACTGGATTCGCCATTCTGCCATCCGAAAACGAGATAGAACCTCGTGATTTACCGTGGAACACGTTCTATCCATTAGACACAAAGTATTTTTTCTACTTTTTCTCGCTTCCATTAGTAAGTTACAAAATGTTTGAAATTCAATTTAAAAAGATTTATAAACTACGTCAGAATTGTATTATTTCCACGCAATGGAGCGAAATAATAATGAATAAATATAAAAAGAAAAAAAAAAATTGAGAGACTATAGAAAATGAAAGGTTTTACTCGTTTTTCCGCCTGACAGAATGGCACAGAGTTTTGATGGGTCGTCGACGAAGGGAGAAACGCCAATCAAGAGCCGTCATTCAGCCTTAATTAACAAGCCTGGAAGCAGCGGGCCTACGATCAGGCCTCGAGCTACCGGCTTGTTCTGGTAATGACGTTGCAGCGCAATTATCTGATCGGCTGCCCGTGCAACCCGTTCCTCTACAGCACACGATTTTCGATAAATACCATAGTCCTGAGGGTGCATCTTGTTAACGTTTGCAACGGGGGTAACCGTAACAGGAAAATTTCTCTCCCAGATTCACCGTAAATCGAGTTTCACCTTCGTCCTTTCTCCGTTCCCCCATTAATTCGACGAACAGAGTTAGGCCATTTTCGAACGTGTACGGGTAATGCGAGCGTACCCGAGCGGATCTGCTCGTTGATGAAGCGTAAACCTGACATACAAGCTGGCTAACTTCGAACTATGGATTATCAGCTTGATAATACTATGTTCCTTAGAGAATACGTTTTAATAATTAAAGTATAAATTAGAAAGATTATTTTTTATTTCTTCTGCATCGAAAACTTTCCAAAAGTTTGTGAGAATATTATGCTTTTTAAAATACAGGAATTTTTCACAGAGAAGCTTTGTAAGTTTAAGAAAAAGGTGCTAAATATGTTTGTAACGAGTCCAAACTTTTGCTGGGTAGTGTATGTATTTTTATAATTAATTTGATCCAGCTTATTTTGAACCACCATAAGATTAATGTGTCGTCCTGGCGAGCTAAACAATCCTAGAGAGACTCATTATTAGCAGTAATTTAACTGCTGATGTAATCCTGTTCTAAATCATAGTAGAAGACATTCGATGCAATTTCACCTTCACGGGGACAAGGACTGAAACGGGTCATTCAATTTGTCATCGTTATGAGCTTTTTTTCGTTCCTCGTCTACGACCCGGAGTTTTTACAAGTTTGCGATATTCATAAAGTTGGTACAGTTGCGGCCATCGGTGGTAAGAGGCAAGTTATACCCGCGACAGTTCCTATAAATTTACCGTAAACGTTCGAAGAAGAAGTGAACAAAAAAGAATTTTTAAAGAATGACTTTTCTTTACTCTTTGGAAATTTTCAAAGTACGATACTCGTGGATAATAGAAACCTCTTAGAAGTAAAAGTTTGAAGTACGGAGTTTGAAAATTGCTTCATTCCACTTTCGTATATTTGTTGACAACATTCAAAAATTTAATCCCGATGAAATTCATGAGTCATGGGGTTGTAACCCGCCTCCCTTGAACCTCCCCTTAATCCGTCGCTGATTTTAGATCAGTTTCCGTGCATTTCTATTTAAAATTCTTCCAATTTAAATAGCAAGTTATAACATGATCAATTTATCGAGATTTTAAAGTTTAAAAGCGAGCGAAACAAGCTTCCAATAACCGGCTATCTAATTTTCGAAACATAATGCGAACGAAATAATTTTAATTTATTCCATTACCCTACTCGTTTTAACAATGAACGGGTCTCGTATATTTAACGCTAACGAATTTACCTCGAAATTCTAGACGAGCGAAAAGTGAACAAACCCGTCTGAAAATACAACAGTAATTAAATGTCACATGCACACTAACCAGTGATACAAAATTTTATTCAATTGTTTAGCTTTTTACAGACATTTATATTATATCAATTTGAAGCACTTTTTATGCATCAATTTCAATTAATTTAAAAGAAATATCAGTACTTACTTCGGTGTCCTTTATCCAAGGCTGGTTCCCTCCTTAACTTCAGTCTTCTTTTCGCATTTACCCATGGCGCTGCAATGAAAAATATGAAGCAATGTAAATGTTTACATTTCTTCGCGATATTTACTATAGACCTGGTTTCAGCAAACGCAATGAACTAAAGTAAACGAAGTCGTGATTTCACGTATACCGAATTCAAAGTCAGAATACAAAATTTCAAAATAGCTCCAATTGTATCAGAAAGAAATATACTATGAATATGAATAATTATACGAGAAGGTAACTAATAAATAAAATTAACTGTTTACTGAATATTAGTAATTACTGAAATTAGTGATTTCTTAAAAATGACGTTTAAAAAAGTGCGCAATCTGTCCAATATCCATATCCAAATGGCAACAAAAGAAAAATCCTTAAGGGTTGAAAGAAGATTGGACCAGATTTCTTTTTTATAACGCAAACGCATGACTTCCGCTCGATGTAGCGTAAAGACGATTTCGCTTATATCCCCAATTCAACTTTCGATCGATGCTCACTCTCGCAGAAAGTGAGTTAGTGTTTCCTAGACTCGTTGCAAGTCTTCGAGTTTTTTTCAAAGAACTGTGAAATCTGATGAAAAATCTTTCAGAATAAAGATCGAAATTGACAAAAACTGATGAACCCTCATTTAATCGTATTTCAAAATAATCAACTTATTAAACTGTAGTTGAAGTTGGAAACTCATATGATCTTGGAAAAAGAAGGTTAAATGATAAATTCTGAATAGAGACACTTACTCATGTCATTATCTGCATGATGGATAACAATTTTAATGCTCTCTCCATCCACGAGACTACCTTGACGAGCTAGTTCACGATCTTCAGCTGCAACCCTATTTACAGCAGGTGGAGGGACTACTTTAGCCACTCCTGGAGCTGAGGATGCCAAAGCCTTGATGGCATTTATGTCCGGTCTGAAATCATAACATCAAGGTTTCCCACTTGGAATACAAGGAAACATACTATCATTTATTAAATAATAAGCCTTAAGTAGCATGAATTTATTCCACATTTGCAATTTATTTTTCTACAATCCCTGTATACGTGGTTGTGCGAGTCGTTTTGAAATACTATAACACACAATTCCCTATTCAATTCAGAACTTTTCAAAACGGAACAACAGCAACAGATATCGTTCCGTGGAATTTCATTTAATTCTAGAATACAATCGTAATTACGGTCGAATGTTTTACCTGTTTCTCGGTAACACTGAATTAGCATAGGGAAAACATGGTACTTTAGGGAAACCGTTGTTGTGTACCCTTTCTACCCTTCTCTCTCTCACTCTCGTGATCCTAATTAATCTGGCTCTCTTGACTGAAGTGGTTAAAACGACCTGGCTGCTTTAAAATGCTTCTGCCACGGTCGAGAAGATCGAGTGGCTTAAGGAGATCATGCTCGAAAATCGCTGAATTAAGTGAAACACGCCATTTCCCTGTGGTTTCTGCTCGACCTGCGAGGTTCCAGCAATCGATACGACCAATTTGAATACATCCATGTAGAAAAAGATATCTACTGTGTGCTAGTTCTTAAGCACCGTTCGAAAAATGAAAAGAAAATGAAAAATCCAAATATTTCAATCTCCTTGTTTTTCCTTCAATTTATCTATTTGTTACAATAATTTGTAAGATTCTCCAAGATATTGTCAGCAACGACAGCTAATTTAATTCAACGTTACACGGTATTCCTCGGCGTGGAAGAAACGTCGTCATCTTTGAGACTAATAACCAACGTCGTAATTCGTAACCGTCTGAACTTAATGAAAATCGAGAAACTGGTTCGTCTTCGAGATTAATAACAGACTTGTTAGAAACGCGGGCCGGGAACTCAGGGAAATTCGGCCTGAAACTGTGATAATAGTGGAAACTAAGGAAACTAGAATGTACATATACATTTTCGGGAGAAATTACGTGAATAGGTGTGGTACTAATTATTTCTCTAGTGACGAGAAGCTAGTGTTTGCGATCTACTTCAATTTTTACTGCTTCCGCGTGCAAAACGCGTACTTAGCAGGGAGAAAGAGTGGAACGGGTTAAAAAAGGTGAGCAACCAGCAAATATGCTGGCAATTACATGCTTGACATGAAATCCCTTCTTAATATCATTCTCTTTCAATGATTTTATCATCTTTCATAAAATATTCCATCAAAATAATTTTACTTCTGAATTTTTCCATTTAATCTTCAGTTTTCTTCTGTTTCAAATATTATATATCTCAGAGACAGAAAATAAAAGCAAGATGTTTTTATAATATATTAAAACGATTCAAATTTAGCATTTACTTCAAACATGAATATCTGATAAGAAAACATAAAAACGTGGTGTATCTTGTCATTCCACGCTGGAAGCTTTAAAAAGATATCAAAGTTTTTACGAGCTGGTAGGAAAGCTCACAAGCCACGTATGTATAATAAAACGAGATCCAAAGAGATCTGTAAAACGGAATATTCCATAAGTACATAAATTAATACATTCAAAACAAACTCATAAAAGCTTATTCGATTCGAAATCAAATTTGGATCACTTTGAGATACAATATAGCTTCGCAAAGGGTTTCCTATCTCGTTCCTTCAAAAAGAAAATATTTCGCCTTTATAGAAAGGAAACCACCTGAGACCTAGAAAGGAGGGCGAACCGGTGTGTATTGACTGCTCGACTTGGAAATTTTTCTTTTATCAAATTCCAACGTAAAAGTAACAGCTTTTTTTAAAAATAATTTTTCTCTTTCGCTGAATATAATTTTATCGAGAAGCTATATAAACGATGCGGTATAATTGAAGCCCTTAAAGATTATTAAATGTGTAATGCAGTACTTACAATTGAGAGCCTCTTCGCCTAGTTCGTCGTTCCTCATCAGGAACTAATACAGGTTGAGCCACCACCGCTGGTGGAACTACTGGCACAGAAGATGCTTCCAAGTTCATCATACTTTCATCTTCAGCCCCGACTTCGTACGGCATCACAGGCTTCACTGCCCTAAACGATGATCTTCGCGATGTTGGCCTTTCCTCCGGTTTTCTACCACCTGCCAACAAAATATTTTATTCTTGTCAATTTATGTAAACCTGATCAATTTAAAAAATAAATTAAATTAAAATTCTAATGTAGTACTGTAACCGGAAAGGGGATGAATCTCATCGTCAGTTAAAAAAAAAAAAAAAAAAATAGATCAAGTAACTGCTTCTCATTCTTAAGTTAAGTTTCTCATTCTTGTATCAATCGGGTGTAAAAGTATCATAGAAATTGTATTTTACTTTTCCCTTGCGTCGGCAGAATGTTACAAATTCCGAGTTTGGTCTATATTCCAAGACTATAACATTTGTCAGGCTAATGAAAGCAATAAGGGAGACAGGTAGTTCAGATATGAGGCTTAAGAAAGAGGAGTTTATCGACGACCTAGATAACGTAATTGGTTGAAACAGTCGTAGAAGAGGAAGAATAGAGTACAAAATCCTTTTCCACCCTAGCAACCCAATTATCCGATTCTTCTACCATTATTTATCCCTTTTATCCCTTAACAAACGGCGAACTTCAAGAAGGCAATCGTACTTTTTTAATCCTTATTGGCTTTTCATCTGAATATAAACATAAAACAGGTGAAATTTTCGAACAAATCTTTGCCATCAATTTTTATGCGATACAATTTATTATATTTATTAATTTATAATAAATAATAAATAACTCTTCTATGATATCCCTACCTGGGAAATGGATCCAACGTTTCGCCAACGTCACAGTTAACATCATTACGGATCTAATGGGTTATTGATACTGCTACTCACTGTTTAACCAGCGTTGAGTATCAGTACTACCTCTTTCCACCCGAAGATTCATGTTACATTAACGAAGTAGAAGCTTCGGTAAGCGAAAACTTTTGAAACGTTACCCTGAATTTGCTTTGATCAACATTTCCAATACTCGAACAGTTATTTATGATTCAAAACTACCATTGCAACTATACAAAATATTTCCCATTTTTGCAAATATTAAATTTTCTATATTTAAGCTACAATTTACAATAAATACATTAGTTAAAAATAATTTAGATCTGAACCGTAGAAAAAACAAGCTATAATAATTTTTGTAATCAAGTAGTAATCATGAATATAAAAAATGTAGTTATATAATTATAGAAAATAAACTGTAATATTCGCTATTGTTATGCAGTAACTCGGTACATCGAAAGGGTTATTATTCTAAGACTTCGTCTAACGATCGAGCGGAATTTCATTATGATCTGAAGGCAAGTTGGTATCAAAATATATCACGGTCTCGATTACGAAGTACGTAACATGTAGACAAATTAATTAGAACAACGTTCACCTCGTTACAAAGTGTTTCGACCATTAGACGTCAAAGTTTCAGTTTGAGATCCGACCAAAATGAAACGAAGTTAGGCTTGGTCCAGCCTTGTGGACATGGATATGGTTAAGTAGGAACTGTACTTCCTGAAGAAAGTTAAACTCGATTACACGATTGTAGGTCTTTCGTCCTGCTATAAACATCAAATGAACCTACTAGTGGAACTACTCTATGGTTAAACCTACGATTGAGGGTAAATCTACTGTTAAATTTACTCGATGCAGCAAATATTGCCTTGGGAAACAGTTTAAACAGATTAACTCCGTTATGGTTTGTGAGATGCAAAGCAGAACGTATAACGAATTAATTAATACTGTAATGTTTAAAAAATTGTATGAAATATATTCATTTTAATATCTAATAAATAAATAATGAATAAATTGTTGACGAAGTCTTAGGTAATAACTTAAAAACAACAACGTTCCGAAAACTATGCAGGAAGTTTTCAGTTTAACAGGTAATAATTAATTCGCAATTAAGTTTATTAAGTGTTTATGAAGTCGTGCTTGATACCAAGAGTTACGAAATGTTCCAGGTAACTCGATTAAAATAATTGGGATCCAGTGACCGTTCATCGCAATGGAAAACAGTAATTTGTCAATTACTTACACGCTTCCACCGTTAATTAAAACGGCATTAATTAATACAATTAGTCCATCGTCATTGTTTGCACCGGTCAAAATTTCTGACAGGCATCGAAAAATTGCGTTAACTTGAAAACCGCAGCACAACCCTTTCTGTTTTCAAACGTACCATAATTGATCCTATCAGAATTTCCATATTTCCACGTCGTATTCGTATCAACGACAAAGTTATAATAATATTTTTTTATCAGGTTGGAAATTTCCACAAATTTTCAGGTTTTTAATAAAATATTATAATTTATAAGTCACTAAAAAATAGCTGACAAATCTTTACGAACGTTCATATTTTTACCCAAATTATGTCACTCAAAGTGTTAATAATTACAAGATAAAAAGAAAATTGACACGTTAAGCATAGCGTGTCTCTAACAACCCTTAATTCTACAAATTACACTCAGAAACAAACTAAGAACTTAACTGTGACACAAATGCAATTAAGATTTATCAGACATAAACTTTAATGATAGCCACGTGTTTGACCTAAAATTGTAAAGTAATTAAACTTTGAAACTTTTCATTTTCTTATAATCTTATCTCTTTAGACATAGTATTCGAAAAGAAACTAACTCTAAATTGATCAGCTACTTTCCAATTAATTTTATGTGATAAATTAATCGTGTAATATTTTTTGAACAACCTTAACGTGTAATTAAATCAATCAACGTCAAACCAGCCAAGAAATGATAAAAAAAAAAATGTTACTAACGAAAGAAGGCGTAGCGTCCATGGCCGATTTAGATTCCAGGTCAACAAATACGTTAATCCCATAAACAGAATGAAGAGAAGCATACATTACCTTGGGCAGAGATCGATGCTCTTTGCTGGGCAGCCGCGATGGCCATGGCGTTAAGTCCTCCAACCCCTGGTGCAGCGTACACGTCATAGGCTGATGCTCGCCTTGGTAGCTGCACCGGAAGTCCTAGACCTGGCTCCGGATGAGCGTGCTGCCCACCGCTTCCGGACATCGCCGCCACGTTCTTCATTTCGTCGTCGTACGACCTTTGCCTGGTCATGCGAGATTTGCAACGAACCGTGCCACCGGTTCGACGAGCTCGTCTTCGACGTTCCTCATCCTCGTCCGCGTCGATGGGCATTGATTCTGATGGTTCTATTGATATTTAGATGAAAAAAAATTTTTCAAGATACAACTTGACCCAGTTACGTGGTACACCCTGTTGAAATCCGATAAGATGTATTCACCTGCGACGGAAGATTCAACGCCAACCCTTTGAGGACTCGTGGCCCTTCCTCTCTCCACCTGATGACGATCCGGTGAGGTAGCTCTGGACTTGTTCCGATCCAGGTCTCTCTCCCATCTGAGGTCATCCCGGCGTTCCCCTGCAACCTTTCGAAACTATAACATTACGACACACAGATTAGAGTTCCACAGGGAGTGACACCATTGCGTGAAGAGGAGGCTTATGACTGTTGGCGTGATGTTTCATAATGCTTGCATCGGGACGTGTACATTTACACGACAAGCTATGAATTCGAGGAAAGCTGATATGTTCTGGAAAATATCGAATGATAAGCGACAACAATTACGTTAACGCAGATGGTTCTTTTATCGGTCGTTTTCTTAAGATACGTTCTCTATGCATTTATGGAGATTATAATGATTAAAATTCTAAACTTTATATTCATTTCTATAAATTAATGAATCACGATTATCTATTAACCATTCCTATTTTGTATAATTATGTATAATATTATATTACATTAATATTATATGCCCGTATAATAATAATTAGAATTTTAATTGGTGTTCATGATGTTAATAGGATCTTAAGTCTGACCGTGCATAGCTATTTCTACTGCGACAGTGGAAATATCGATCACCCAGTATACTTCGAATATCGTTGATCAATAAGAACAAATAGTCAATGACATACTCGTTAGGAAATTGGCGGACCTGAAAGAGACGTTCATCAAGAGGGGTAACAGAGGAAATCCATTTCTCCCAGCAACGTCTCTGTCGCGGTATTGAATCGAATGCACGTAATGGGCCATTTTACGAATTGCTAGAAATTCGTTGTTTACGACTCACCGGAAGAGGGATTCGAGTTGTCCCGTAGCAAACTATTGTTTATCTTCCTCTTATATTAATTGGCATTGACGTGTCTGTTATTCGATCGATGCTCGAATTTCGAGGGTCGAAAGCAGGCAAACGGCTGATCCAATTGGAGGTGTAATCGAGGAAATTGCGTCAGATTTTAACGGAATCGCAGGGATCCAATTTCGAGGTTCCTCCCTCCTGTCGCTAATTGCAACCGTTCGAGGGACGGGAGCGTTTTAGCCCCGATAAATTTGTCGCGAGGCATTATCTCCCTTGTAATCCCGTGTTCTTGCGTCACCGAGTCGCTTCGACAACAAGCAGGAGGATGTTATCAATCAGGATACCGTTATCCCGACCGATAGCTTTTCTTTTTAGAAGGTATCTTTAACCAATTGGGTACCGAAAGAAAATTGGGGGATTTTGTTTATCTTCCAGGAAGGGGATCGATCGATGATACTGGTAATTGTCTATACATCTCACAATAGATGTGTTCATTCACTAAATAAAATGAAATTCCTTAAAAACTGAGGATGTTGAACAGAAATAATTTGCAAATTTATAATCAATTAATGGTACTCTACAAAAATGCCCAGTGGTTATTAAAAGACACAGAAAAAGTAATTAATCAAGCTAATATTTAATACATTTTCGGTCGATTTTACGATCATAAAGCTCCAATATACAAAGCAAAATTCCACAAAGGTAACCATAAAGCATGAAAAATTTCAACATCGCGATAAAAGCAACCTTCCGTGCTCCTCGACAAGCAGGATATGATATTTCTTTCGCAAGAACGAAACCCAAACTGATGCTCCTCGTTTTTTGTTTTCTCTGCAACGAGCAAATTTCAAAGGTCTTCCGCAAATGATTACCCGCGACAGAGAAAGAGCAAGAAACGGAAATGCATTTCGTTTTAATACCCTTGTTACAGAAAGATTCGAGCCGGTTCTCTTTGTTGCTAGGAACCGCTAATTTCCGTTTGTGTACCAGGCAAGGATTCAAAGCAGTCGCAAAAGCTCTCGTTCGCGACCTCTTTTTCACTTTCCCGCTTTTTTTCTTTTTCCTATTCCTTCTTTTTTTTTTCGACCGATTTCCGGATCCTCCCTAACCCCAGACACCGTGCTGTCACGGTACCGATGGCCTGATTTCAATTTCATTCCACTTTCTTTCGTTTCCGCAGTCGATTTCCAATGAAATGAGATTCTGCTGATTCTTCCTCGAGCCAACAAAAACGATTTTCCAATAAATTCTTAGAATCGAAAAGCCGACCGACTGTTCTCTTATTCTTTGCTTCACGTTCCGTCGGTTTCGTAAGAGCTTCTTATTGCCCTTGCATTTCTTGCTGGGATCGAGAACAAGATGAAATCCTGTTAGATCCACGTGTTAACCAACCGCGCCGGAATAAGGAAAGTACTAAACGAGTTTACGAGCGTTTTCTTGCGTTCCACGATCATTTTCCACGGTCGCGCGTGTGTACTTTCAATTAGGATCTATTTTAGCGCACAATCAACGAGAGAAAATTTATTGGAACTCTGCGATTCTTACTTATTGGAAAACTCTAACCTGTCTGGATCTTGTTATAAAAAAAAATGATGAGTAATTTTTTTAATTTCATTCACTAATGACAATCAACATATTAACACATAGAAAACGTATCTTGAGTGAAATACTAAACTATCGTATCTTAAACATTCTACTCTCATTTTTAATAAAAAGAACTATATCTTTCAGAGCTGAAATAAATATCCAAATAATCGGAATCGTTTTATGCCCCGCGGAAAATTGTATAGATATTATCCTACGAGCTTTTGCGATCGACAGTAATAAGCAGGATAAAAGCGTAAGACATACCACAACATAAACATGCGTCCAGCCATTAGGCACCGTATTATAGGACAAATATAACCCATTTCTACACGTGGATTAAATAAAATTACTCCGTCGATCGTGCCAGATTTCCTCTGGTACATTGCCAGTACGATGAAAGCATAGCTGTTGGGAATATTCAGTTTCCGACCGCAAACAGTTACTTATAATCAGCTCTGAATTGGATAACGTTTCCTTTATCTAATCATTCCTGGTAATAGGGGGATTAGCATAATACCGATTACTATTGCGAAACTGCTCGCTGGTGAACCATAAGTGGGTTGTTTAGAGAAATTTCCATCGATCGTTATCGCACTCGAATATTCTGTCAATTGTTTCAAAAAAAGAAACACCGATTCGCTTCGTTATATCAAATTACTTGAATTGTGAATTTTTTTATATGATAAAATAAATGAAATAATTCACAGTAAAACGAATGGAAGTAAAACCACTGTAAAATGAATGGATAACATTTGAATCAAAGTATTAATAATTCTTCCTTCTCGTAACATATGTGCAAGCATTCAGCAATTAGCAACGGTACGTGTTGCAAGTTCACGGTAAGTTTGCCATAAGTTAAGCAAAGTTCTGAAATCTGTGCCGTTTTCAACTTAATTACCAGATACGACGATTAACACGAATACATATGCAAACACAAACGTTGCCGTGTATTCTGTTGTCGCGTGATGATTGAGAAGCGTAACATTACAACTTTCAGTTTACAAAACCTTCGACTTACCTTCTCGAGTTCCTTTAAACTAGCAGGAGACACGTCGGAATGTCTCCTAAGTTCCGGGCTTCTCGGAGGTGCCAATCCGGAACCGAGACCTCCGATCTGGCTTCCGCTTTGACAACCCAGTCTAGCATCGCTGTGCCTCCTCTGAAGTGCTTCCAAAACAGGAACCTCCAACAGGGAATCCGTCGATTCCTGGGTAACTATCGGCTGGTCCCGTGACGCAATTTTTCGTCGACACACGCTACAACGCCATGACGACTGAAACAAGTTTTTTTTTTTTCAAAGTTAAAATTTCCAATAATTTTTCCGATTTTTTAATTCAGACAAATTAGAAAAACTTTAAACTCCTGTATTACGTATCATAGTATTTAAGTAGATAAATAAATAATAATTATCAGTGAAGGGATACGAATAAAAATTACCGGATCATCGGAATTCGTTGTCGTCGAATAGCAAGCGCAGTCCTCACAAACTTTGTGTTGACACTCGCAGCAGGTCCTCGAGGTTTCGTCCGGAGCGAAAGACTTCCGGCATACTCTGCAATCATCCCCGGTTTTCGACTTCCTGCAACATACAAGTTTCAAACGGTGTCAGGGTTAAAATTGTTTTGTTTAGAAAATTCATTTTGACTAGAAGTAAAACCTGGACAGAGGATCATCAGGTTCTAAACATTAACGTCTATTTAATTATTGCTTTGGTTCGCCGGTAATGAGCAAGCAATTATTCATCCTCATTAAAACATTCATTATTCACCGCGAACAAAATACGGTTAGAGGTATTTTTAACGATTATTGTTCGATGAGGTAGAAAGATATTATACTGTTTCTATGATTAAATTGTTTATGCAAATAATGTTTTGTAATTTTGTAATTAAAGACTTACGTTTTCGTTGATTCTGTAGTTGTTTCTTCCTTTGGTTGTGTTTCTTCGGGAGGGGTGACTTTTGAGGGACCAAATTTCGTAACTGCAAAAGAAGAAAATAATTGTCGATAAAATTAGAAGATGATCCTTCTATAATACTCTTGATATTAAGTTGATATTAAATCAGATCCCTTTAAAGAAAATAGCGATGTAGGAAAAGCAGGAATTTCAAAGTTCTAATTTTAACTATATTAATATTAAAAGTGATTTAGAAAAAAAAAATAAGCGTTGCTAAAAATATTTCAGTTTAATAACGAAACAATTCTGCTCGAAGACGCTCCTCCAATTAACCTAATTGCACACGGAGATTAGAACACGAAAGACGAACTGCGAAAGCATCTGGAACGCGAATTTCTTTTCATTAACGCGCTTTGAAGTCCTCGTTCGACGCTTTTTCACTTACTTTACAATGTTCTATTTTCCTCGGGCGTTATGAAGCGTAGACATTGCAAAATGTATTATAATTGTAGAAATTACGGTTGAAACTTTGATAAAAATGACTGTAAATACGCATTTTTTATTTATGATAAAAACTATCGGTTATTCAATAACGTTTTAGGACTTTTGAACAACAAAATAAACCCGAATCGATCGTCGAACGTATCTGGAAAAATTTATTCAACGTTTGAAAGTTTGTGGTTGAAGACAGGTTCCTGTTTCAACAATGCAAACAAGCAGGATTACCAAAGGATAGGAGGACTCAAGGGAAAATAGAGTGGAAATCCTTTTTGGAAGACAGACACGGGACTTGGTCGTGACTTTTTTAGATTAGGTCAAGTTGGGTTGGTCTCTTCTTGGAAAATTCACAGTATTGTGGAACATAGGGTCGTGCATGAACGACTGCTAAAATGATCACTTAATTAACCTAAAAGTTATCCCAGCTATCGGTTTTATTCAAGCCCTTCGGTTTCTTTTTTCCGTGAAGGAAAATTTATTGGCAGACTTAACCATCTTCATTCCATTTCACGTTCCATCGCTTCCTTACATTTATGCGAAGCGTCATGCTATTATTCGAAATGCTCTACTTTTACGCCTTCTCGTTTCAGAATTTCAGTTTTAAAATACTACAATATCGGTGAAATTTATGAAAATCTGCCACCTTTTTGAAGTTATATAAAGGGGAATATACTGAACATTATTAGGGTTGTTTTATGAAATATTTTCTAAATTAATATTTATTAATATTTGTTAGAAATTATTTTCTGATAAATTTAAGCGAAAAAAGCTATAAATTTATGTATATGTAATTTGATACCATAAATTAACAAAAACTTTATTATATTTATAATATGGCATGTGCAATTTATCTTAGAAAGCAATTAATTACATTGAAACAAATTGTTTAATGTAAAATGTAATTCAAAAAGTAAATCGTAATTACTGAACGATTTTCGTTTGATTTGCAAAGTGTAGTTATTTGTTTAAACGGCACTTGTTCTTTTACGAGCAGTTAGGTAAAATCATTCGTTTTTACTCGTTACAGAACAACGAAAATAATTGCTACATAATTGATTGTAATTAACATTTCCGTCGTTCTTGATCAATTTAACACGTTGACATTATCAATGCGATAAATACCAGATGAAAATCGTATTGTAATTCAAATTAAGAACGCTTCAATAAATTATTTCTAGGAATATGTGATTTATAAAAATCATAATAAAGTATTAATTTAGATTCCGTTCAAGCTTTTTCAAATCTTTTTAAATAATCCATATCAAGTTTATGAACAATAGAAAATCTTAAATCAATCAACGTTAAATCATGTAACAAATTAAAGATTTTAATATTCATAAAGTTATTATTTCCTTTGTATTTCGTACTTCAAAGCATTTTCATATTCCGCCAGTTGATAACCGTTCTAATAATATCACGGATCACATTTTACTCTATTCTGCTCGATTCATTCCCATAATTACATCCGCAGCATCAAACAGTATGAAATCTGTAAGAATTTATAAGGATTCCCAGGATAATTAAATACCTCTTTATCAGTCTTTCAGCTGGATTCATTAATGATTTCCATAGTAATTACTATATTTCAAATTTTCAGATGAATATCAATATTCTATTTGATATAGGTATCTACACATAATTTCCAAAAACCATAGAAAATTATAGAATTAAATTATGCCATTTATTCTAAATCACTTTTAATATTAATATCGTCAAAATTAGGATTTTGAGAATTCCTCTTACCCCTATGTCACAATTCTTCTGAGGGAAACTTAATTTTAATATTCAATATTTAAAAAATAATTGTGGTAGTTCAGCAGTAAAAACAAATTCAAGTATCAGAGGACTGATTCTTAAAGGGAAACCACGAAGGGAACTTGAACCTGTACGATGGTATCCGATTTACTCGACCTCGAACTCCCTGTTAACCCACTCCGTGTTCCATTAATTACCTCGATGATTAACAATGCGACTGCGTTTCGAGATCAATTACAGCAATGTCCTCGTCGATATCAAACGGTCGGCAAGGAGATTGAATCAAACCGTGACAGATTACAATGGAATAGTCTTGTTCGACATCGATGAGCGGATATTTGTCTTCAGATGTTCGACATCACGAACAAGATGACCGTAACGTTTGAAAAATGAAAGAAACTTGTGTAATTAGGTCGACTACAATCACGATTCAGGGAAACGTTGTTAATCCTCTTACGAATTCAAGCTGTTTGACGACTAATTAGCGTTTGATGTCTTTAAATGATTAGTGTTCTATTCGTGTAATCTATTTAAGCACACAATGGCATTTTCTTGATGCATTTAATTCACTGAATATAAACTATCACCTATAAGTAAATATACTATTGCCGATATAAAAAGAAATTCAAAAATAATAAATCACCTTTTATGCGTTAAATAATGCTAGCACAATAATTATTTCGTTATCAGGATAAGTAAAAGTCCCTATAGGAAAGGATTTCCCACCCTTTGAAATGATTTACGCTAACAGCGAAATTAACGGGAACTTCGAAACTTTGATGAATATTTATGCAACATTTCATATAAACACTCATTAGCCTCGGTGGTGTTTAGCTTAACTTAACTTCGCTAGCAACTTTACCACCGTTCATAATGTTTAAATGCAGGGAAAGATTGCCAGTACGTAGATGAGAATTTATTCACACTTACTTAGGGAAAAGTTTTACAACTAGTTGTACTGTGCTTGAAAAGAGAACCGTAGATACTATAATTAAATGAAAAAATCTTTGATTAAAAAATTACCAAATTAATTAATTAGATAGATAAATAAGAAAATATTTAAATATTTAAGTAATCGAATAATCAAGTAGTCAAATAGTCAATTTACAGTACGAATATCACATAATATTAATATTAATATTAATGTTGATCAAGATCAACATAATATTCATTACAACAGCAATCCAATTACTACAATATCTGTTATAATATTACAATTGTTTCTCTTTAATTCAATTTCCGTTTCACCTCATCTACGAACATAGAAATAACACTGATTCAATTTATCGTATACAATTTATTGAATTAAATCCAGGTAATTGAACAACTCACCATTGTGTCCGTGAATGGAGTGGAACGGTAACTTCGAAGGAAAACTACCCTATTTTAATCGACAGCTTTGAAAAAAGGGACTGCCATAAAGGGCGCCATGAACACAAAAGGTGGCACGAGAACGAGAAGAATACGTAGTGTCGCAAAAGAAAACTGTTTCCATGGCTCGAAGAGTTTATTTCATTTGGTAAATTCGATGGGAAAGACTGTAACGAAGGTAGAACCAAGAAGATCTCGTTGGAAAGTGGGTCAGATGGTTTCTTCGAAGAAGGCAAAACCTCTTTCGAAATTGCAAATATCTGTCGAGCTTCGTGAACAAATTTTTCAACTGGATTTCTTTCTTCTACCATAGAAATCCAGTCGAATTTATTTCCATACCTGACCTTTTCCACGGGATAATTTTTCTTCAAATCAACATCGTTATACCTGTATTCCTTTCCTATACAATCGATTTTATTTTTATATGACTCTGCTTTAAACAATGCAGTAGAATCTCGAAGAACCAGTAGAACTAATTGCTTTGGTTTCTATAATGTAAACTAAATAAATTATTACATGAATTAAAACTAGAATGGATCCTAAACGAGGAAAACAACTAAGTAGAATTGTAATCAAGAAGCTGTATTCAAACGACTAATTATCATGGCTCTAGAAAGGCTGAATAAATTACACTTGTCGGTTGTGTAATTTTCAGCAAATTATTTTGCCTTTGAAAAAAATAGGAGTATAAAGAAAGAACAGTCCGTCGTTCCATGATTATCCTCGAGCTCTCGCACTTTCCCGCCACGTTTACCTCCGTTTAAACGTAGCCCGACAGTAATTAAGTAAAAAACAAGCTATTTATACGAGGTTTGTTAGCTAGAGAAATATAATTTCTCGTTGTTTGTTGCTTTTGGTTTAATGAAGCTTGTTGTTGATTTAATTGTTTTTATTTTTAATATGAAAGAAAATAGCAGAGAAAATTATATTATCGATCAAAAATAAATATCTATCCAGTTGATCATGACGGTTAAATACTCTACCGCGTTGAAGCAGATAAAGAATAGAGGTTGTATCTTAGGGAAGACAGAAAATTAGTAGACTGGTCAGGATGAGTAATGAAACTTACCGTCCCGTATCACACCACTTCCCAATTGCCTCCATTTGCTGAAGGTGGTGCCTCCATCATCTGGCGTAACCGATCCGGTTGTTCCGGAATCTGGTTGCGTCGTCACCATCTACGACAGAAAATAATGTTCCCCGTGAGACTACCACCTAAAACGAACCCTTCTTCCAACGTGTTTAACCCTCCTCTATCGGAGCTGGATCTTTGCTCACCTACCCTGTAATTTACCGTCCAAATTTCATATAAAATTCCTTTTCATTCCCATTATTCAGAAAAACAATGAAAATAATGTTCCAAATGATGAACAATATACAATAATTCAATTTTTTTTTTTTTTTTTTATTTCCATTTGAGCTTATATTTTTTTGCTAGAATGCGAAATTAGTAAAAATATTATCAAGTGCCCTATGAAATTTAATTAAAAGGCTAATTATATTCCTTCTAGCATACCCCCTAGTTACGTATCTTCACAACTTCATTCTAAGCCAGACTTTGATATGTTCATTCTTGTTATCAAATACATAAGCAGTTATGTACAGTCTACAGTATTGTACATGGAATTCATGTAAGATCAGGGTATTCTGTCCTTCGCCCTTCAATCCATAAGCAGAGTATAATAGAGGATTGGCTTTCTGGTTGGGGTCCAAACAGGCCGGAGAGAAGCACGCGCCGTCATAATCTGAGTGAACGATGGAATCCCGGAATGCAAATTCGTCGGGGGAATATTAAACGGCCGATATTGTACCGTTGGCCTTCTGGTAATGCATAGTCGACGCACTGCGCCATATGGTGTTCCAAACGTGAGTTTTCGCCACCGGCCAGGGAAATAAAAACACGATAGAATATCTCGCAACCCGAAATACGTACACCCCGTCTCAAAATTCTGTTAAACTTTGTCTTTTTTTTAAATTTTAAGAAACTTCCTTTTCCCTAGAAGATTGACCACCCCAATGGAAAAGGACCATGCGGTAGGACATTTTGGATACAAGTGTTCCTTTTTATTTTTCAATTTTTCTCGGGGTTAGTAGGTCCTAAAACTTTTTGGAGGCAGTGTATATCGGATAACGCTGACGAGGATATAAAAGTGGAACGGTTCCCCGAATGGGCCGACCTTTTGCATCGACGATTTGAATCGACTAAATTTTTATGCGTCCATTATGCCCTCTTTTCGAAACTCCTGGCTGTTGAAACTCGCGAACGGATTGCTGACGAGGAATTTATGACATGTGGTATACGGCTTTTCGTTTATTTTTCAAAGTACATCTTCAATTATTCATAGGTTGTGTGCAGGGATTTTATTATTGTTACTTTGGAATTCTTTGATCTCCAAAGTTCTACAAAGCTATGGAAGAAACGAACAAGTTAATCTTCCAACAATAAATCACAAAGACTGCAATAATTTAATTTGAAAAAAGCTAAATAAATCTGAATTTTTGTAATTTTATATTTTATGAATTGTTCTATTTTCGCCGTGCCGAAGGGGAAATAGGAAACAAGAAAGCAATCCTGAAATATCAATAGCTTCGGTTATATTTATATCACTGTCGAATCTGAACTGTAGATTGAACGGTGTAACAAAATCTGACTCGACAGGTAACAGAGACACCATTAAAGAAGAAAATGTCCCTCGAGATCGTTGTACCTCGAAGAAATTTAATCCTCTCTCGTCTTTTCATTAAGAAGCATACAGCTCCAATAATAAAATATTGAAAATTCCGATAAATTCTATAAATTATAATATAAATTTCTAGACACGTAAATATTTATTTTCCAATTTTAGTATTAAAGAGTTGATTTTTATTTAGAAATTCAGATATGCATCAAGGTATTTTATTCAGCAATCTATAATGGATCTGGCAGGTTAATTTAACCTATAATTAATCTATGTCATCGTGGAAAATCCATAAGATTTTCACGGATGGTTAACACCATAAAATACGTAGCATAATTTTCCATAAAGCGAGTTTAATTCTTCGAAGCGAGGAGTTATGCACCGTTGTAAAATCGACCTAAATCTTTCCGTGAACTTGTAAAAAGTAAAATAAAAAAAAACCTAATCCCAGTTTAATCTCGGTTATTTTCGGCTTCCCTCTGTCGAATTCATTTTCCCTCGCGAACGTTTCTTGTGTGGGCGAGATACCTCTCAACTTTACGTTGTAATGGACGTAATTCACATTTCATAATCAGATGAAAAAGGAAATAATGAAATGAATAACGTCGTGAAAAAAATTCTGATTGAAGCGAATCGTTGGTTATCCAAACACGTACCGATGTTTATTTTCTGTTCCTCGATTATAAGAAAATTCTTTTATATTGAAGTTTAATGAAAAGCGATATTTTTTTTTTTTTATAATGACAAAATATTGAAGAAAAGGAAAATATAATCTTATGAAAATTATAATTTAAAATATTATTGGATACATGACCAAAAATAAGTAGATTACTCTAATCATTAAAACTGATCAGAAATTACCTTTTTGACGAATGATACCACGTTAGCAGGCAACATCCTGTATATGGTTGAACCGCACGACTTTCTTAGGGAGAAACGGAAGTACTCTTAACTCCCTATTGCGCCTCTCGTGGAGTTCTGTTTTCCGGCCCTGGTTACCGGCATAAAGTCGTTCTTAGAGCAGATGTCTGCTATTATTCTGTTCTCTTTTTCTTTCACAATAAGATCACGGCAATGTCCTCGGTATAACGAAAACCAGAATATTTTAATAGAAATCGACTGAACATGGAGCCACTTGGCTCATCCTTTTGCCAGAAACACATTCCCATAAACTATCAATCGTTTCTCTTGGCACACCATCGAAATCCTTCCTTGGAAAATTGAATCTGAAACAAGTACAATATTTCCTATATTAGAAAAGGCAATTAAATTGATTTCAAAGTTGTTAAAATTGAATTGAAAATTATATTTGTTGAACTTGAATTGCAATAAATATTTACATTTGAAATAACCATCAACGACCCACCAATCAACGCGTTAATTATAAATATTAAAGTACTAATTACTAATTAGTCTATAATTTAAAATTGAAATATAATTCTCAATTCATTTTTCTCTCATTTTCAAAATGTATTATTTTTTGCAATATTATACGAATATTTCATTTTAAGATTAAACATAAATTTATCATAAGTAACTTTTTTATTATTTAATACTAAAGTTCTCAGTAAATTTACTCTCTTCTCTCTGAGAACTAATTAAAGTTACTTTGATGTTTTACTTTTGTTAATAAAAAAGCTTCTATTCAGAATTATTAGAAAACAATTGTTCCAGATTTCGCCAAAGGGTACATAAATAAATGTAATTTCATTGAAACAAACAATATATTAAACAGTGACCCAGTTTGAAGCAATGCATTCTTATTCATGAAACGGTTCGTTACACATGCCAGAATTAAATTCCAATAGCCGAATTACCATACGTCAACTCGAAAACTTTCGTATCTGCATATTTATCGACGTGTATCAGTCGCTGCAATTTATTACAGTAATACTCGAATAACAAAATACAAGTACAGCTGGCAGTGGCTCAACAGGATTATAAAAAGGTAACGGGGGAAAAAAATATTCAAAGTTCATCGTTCATAAACATGCAAAATCGTTATCGAAACGAAAAAAATTATGTATTTTTATGGGATAAAACGAAGCGACGAGGAGAAAAATAACAAAGAGCTTTCAATTAAGAGATACATTCGATGAATTTTCAGATTCATTTAACATACCATCCGCTTTTTATACCAATTGTGTTTTCACGTGTTACCGTTGAAATTCCTTTACTTTTGTTCAATTTCATACATTATCGACGTTCGATTCTATCATTCTCTTTTTCTAGCTTCATTTTAGAATGTTAATAACCTGATCATTCATGATTTTCTCTTCCGTAGCTTCGGTTATAAGCCTCGGTTATGCATCGCGATAACCCCGTGAATAAGTAGATTCATCCCCCATCACGAAGAAGACATTGATCCAAGGGGGGGTTAGAAAATATCGCGAAAATGGAAGAAAATTTTTTTTATCAGAGCTAAGAGAGCGTTTTTTTTCCTCCTATGAACTAAGTGCACGACCCATGAAATTCCTTATTCCAGTTAATCGAACCTGATCATTTTTAAAGTGGAACCCCTCTTTCCCTTTTCTTACCCGTCAGTCTTTTAAAATATCTAATTTTCTACAGGAAAATGAAGATAATAAAGTGCAGTTTAATATAAAAATTTGATGCAATACCGAGAGTAACAGACAAAATTATTAAGGAAGTGGATGCGAGAGGATTCCTTCGTTTTGGAAAATGAAGGAATAAAAGGGGATTCGAGGTGTTTCGAGGGAAGAAAGAAGCCGAATAAGGGTGAAAACGGAGGCGTCATGGAATTTCAAGCATCGAGCTCATAATGGTCCAACACATATTAGTTTATCTCGTAATGATCCCAAGGAAGAACCTCGAATCCCTTGGTAATTCCTTTCTTAGATGCTGCGTACTCGGAGGAATTCGTTCTCTTCTGAAGATCTTGAGAGCTTCTGAGCTTGGACTTGGCTCGAAATTAATTATTGAAATCAATAAAGGCGACGATGAGCGATGCCAATGGAAGATAGACTATTCTTACTATTTTTACTATTTTTTACAAATTCAGCAAATACTTTAATACTTGGCTATTTAAAAAAGAACCAGGTTATATAGCAGCATATTTTTCTCCAATAGTGTACACGAATATATATATATATATATATATATATCTATATAGATGTTCCGGCCGGAAATATTCAGGGAAAGGCGATTCGTTCTACTGACCTGGTGGCTGCTCCAGTTAACCTAGGAAAATGGATCGCGATATATGTGTTTTAATCAATACGTCAGAGGATTACGAGTCGCGAAACGACTGGTCGAAGTCTTTACAGCGAAAGGGTTCTCCAAGATGCAGGCACACTTGGCCTGGCCAGTCTGGGAAATTGCTTTCCTCAGGATTACCTTTCAGTCATTTAATCTCTCCTTTGAACGTGAGTTAACTCCGGTGACATAAATGGTTTCTCATAAAGGGAAACGATCGTTTTACGATCCTGTAAAAATTCCATGGTACTAGCTATCCAATGAACAATAACGCTGACAATTTTTAATTTTATTCTTAATGAAAGAAATTGAAAAAAAGAAATTAATTCTTAAAGTTTAGGAGTTCTTTATATATTTTCAGAATGTCAAAGAATGTTTCATATTTTTTAATACATGTTTCTTTAATGAAGAATCAAAGAAATAATTAATTGAATGATATAAATATGACAGTGACCTAAATATCAGATCCCAGGATGCATTAGAATAGAAAGAAAAAAATGGAAGAATCGTATCAATATTTAACAGCGAAAGAGAAGTTCCAGTAATTGAAATGAATAATGCATACAGTGTCTCCATTGATTCGTATAATCACGGTAATACGACACCACGAATGGTTAATCAAAGAAATCAAATGTAAAAAGTACTTTTCTACGGGGATCGATTTTATCATCGAGTTGCTTGGTCAGTAGGCAACCAATGACAATCACTGCTAATATAAAAAAAGAATTAACATAAAATAAAATACTATATGTTTATTCGCGATTAAATCAGGCTTCCCAGGGAAAAAGGTGGTGTCCTTGGTTTCCACCCTTCCTCAAATTTGAATTAAATTTTATAGTATTTAATAATTAAAAATCATATTAGTTTGTTTCTAAATTACTAAATTAAATAGCCATTTTCCATAGGAAAGCTCGATCTGATCGAGAGTGTACATCAAGGTTCCTTAGCTTTAACTATACAGAAACGTGCCACTACATTGTCAGGCTCAAAGTGTACTAAACCATGAAGAGTCTGTTGTCTTCAAGGCTCGATTATAACGTGTTACGTGCACGGATCGAGTTGGCAGGTTTTAATCGAACCGATCGATCGCTTCCACGACACAAAAGCCTCTCAGAACCGGACACAAGAAAGACGAGCTTTGACGGTCTCGTAATACGAGCAGAATTCGGAAAATTACCACTTTAAGTATTTCAGCTGGGTCAAAAGGCTCGTTAGGTATTGAAATTTTTCCAGTGCCCTCATTGGAAATATTTTTCTTTCCTTTTTTACTGTGTCTTTGTACGAATAACGTTCAGGAACTTTGATCAAATATTTTCTTTTGTACAAAATCGTTGCTCAATTGGTGGAAAAACTTAAAAAAAAACTATTAAACAACAGGGGCAGATTCAAAGGGGATCAATAGGGGTTATCAACCCTTCAAAGAGTATCCACCCCTATTAATTTTTTATTTATTTTGATAAATTTTCTATTTTATTTAAGAAGAATATGATATCGTTTAAATCGAAGAATTAAACACTGTGCTTCTAGAAATATTCATCTTACATTTCCTTAAAATTACACGAAATGTTACTTCATTGCGATTATTGTTGCATCCACATTATATTAAACCTTTTTTCGAAAAATTCTCAAAAGGTTTTCTCGTTTTAAAATCAAATCACAACGGTTCAAAAATAAATCACATAAATTCTACCAAAGTAGACAGAGATTTATTTAAAGTATCTTGATTCGTTTGAAACGCGCAGCAGGCAAATAAAATTGCCAGGAAATGAAAAATTCAAGGATTAAAAATGTCGTCGATGTTGCATGCTTTGACGTAGAATGAAAAATAAAAGGATGAATTAAAACAAGGACCGTGCAGAGGATTAATGCCCAGGGAATTTCAGTGTAGCCGTTAATCTTCGTGTTACGTTCCGTTCGTTTATCAATCCATTTCGATTCGATCTGATTCACGAGACACACCTTTTTCGTGCAGACTATACGTTAAGATATTTAAATAACTGTGGTCCTAAAATTATACGAGCTTCAACTAGGTCAATCAGGTCAATAATTAACCCCTTTGGCCCAATACCAATACATTATATCAATGTACAAACTTTCGTGCACCACATTTCAAAATAATTTTCACACATGGAGAATACTGATATATTTATTGATTTATTAGCAGTTCTATCCACTGGTAATTTTGTTTTATCGGTACTGCTAATAATATCGCATGCTCATTTCATTATATTCGGGTAATAACGTTGGTAAAAGAAGTTTCCGGCCTTTGTGGAAAGGGAAACTTCCGGTTGCACGAATATAGTAACCGTTCGTACACAAAGGCTTCGATGTCACAGACAAAGTATTGGCTCCGGTAGCCAGGCTGATATATTTTTTTTCTTTTTCTTTCTTTAACAACGTTGGTCAACGAACCAAATATTGGCTTTCTGTTCGACGAAAAACGACGAATTGCAGCTGCGATGGTGCAGTTATGTGGAACCGGGCCTTTCATCCATGCAAAGGATTTATCATGAAATATGAGTTGAAATTTATAAAGTATTCACTGCTATTTTTATTATTAATTTAATTTCAAATTTTTGAAACACTGAGTGCTATTCAATTTATGTAAATTGGTAAAATCCTGACAGTTGTAAAAAAATATTAATCAAGAGATACCTAAATTGCATTCAATTTATATGCAAATTTATAATTAAATAATCTCTACTCTTGTAAGTCTATATTATATTTATATAATATTTGTACCCAATATTGTAACAGCTACAGATAAACCTTTGAAACTAACACATTTTTGTTATGAAATAATTCAGAGCACTTAATTATTTTGCAAATAATTCCATCATCCGTTGGAAAGTTTAATTTGTTTAATAACTTTTGTTTAATAAATTCTGTTCAAAAACAGATACTCTTTTAATTATTTTTTATCATATCTAAATATTTTAATATCACTGACATGTTCATCCCGTTTCTTTCCATTAAATTACACGTTTCAGCGGAACGGATTCAGACGTCA